ATAGGGATTGAGAGAGTATTTATGAATTGAATTGCAAGAGATAATAAATTTTTATCTCTCCCATATTCACCTTAATTATTGATTTGATTCTTGAAATTTTATCTTGTTATCAATTACTCATTCCAGTATAAAATATAAGTAATTTTTGAAAAAAATTTACATGTTAATAAAGTCTTCATTCTCATAACAATATACTGCCTCCATTTTTGAATCTAAGAAACTACCATGTGTTTCATTTTTTTTAATCTATAAACAAAACTGCAAATTTCAAAAAACATTTATTACATTTTTTCTTAACTGTCCCTCATACAGTCAATGCTTATTTTTCCTGCATAAATTTGTTTCATTAATTATAAGGATAATTTAGTTCAATTTCTTTAATTTTAATATAATTATTATCTTAACTAACTTTCTTAAACAGTATAAATTAGTTATTTTCTCTTATGTTTGGAAACGAAGGGAGTATATTGTTTTTCCCTTTAACCTCTAGTCCCAGTTACCAATGCATTATATGATGAATGAAAGATGCATTTACATAAATGTTTAGGTTAATAAATATAAGGGGTAAAATGAAATTTTTTTTATATTTACTAGGTTATTTATATTTTGAATCAAGATTAATTAAAGGGAAATACTTATATTTTGGATTGAAACAAGTATGTCCTTAAGGTTTTATAATTATATATAATTAGCTTTTATAATTTGAAGGAAATGTATGATAAATTATAACAAATAGTGGAATAAATGATGCTTGAGTGAGCAAAGGTGAATGATTCTTTAATATTTATGTTGAAAATATGTAATCCTAGACACATGTGGTGTAATTGTGTATAATTATAAAAATATAGAGAAAATTACTCAAAGATCTCACTTAATACAATTAATTACTCTCAGATCGATTGATTATGTTATCATTCTCTGAAGTTCAGTTGTCAATAAACTTAAGAGTAATTAATTATGCTAAGTGAGATTTATATAAAATTCTCTCTAAAACTGAAGGTACTTAATTCATAAATATTGAACTTCAAAAACGAAATTAGTATTTGAGGTAAATTTAAGGAATTAACAACTTCAATAACAACAATTATAGTCAACATGAAAACACCGAACATATCCAGAACTGTTATCTTCATTTTTTTTTTTTTTAAGTTAAAGTTACTCTCACACCTTTATAGTAAACACGTATGAAATTAGGTAGGATATTTCAAATATAAAATTACACGTGAGTTATAAAAATCCCCCATGTGTTTGTTTCTAGATCATCAGTCCCGGGATTTACTCCAGAATAATAATAATAATAATTTAAACGCGTAAACATAATTTAATTAGTATATTCCAATAAGAAGAAATCACGTCATGAGCATTCAAAATTTCGACTCAACCTTTTCGAGAGAATGGTCGAATCCTAACAAATTAATTCACGTTCCAGATATGATGAAATAAAACGATGACGTCGGACCACGTTTCTTAATCTTACCAAAAAAATAGTTGGCAAATAAATATATTTATCCAAACTAAAATTGACCGAGAGATACACTTGTCGTTTAAACCGTACTTGGAGGTTTGAATTTTATAGAGAACTTCGTAGGTAAATTATTTGGTCTTCAATATAAGGACCATGGAAGCTTATTTGTTACCCTCCATTTAACATAATTTTAAATTTACAATCATTTTTAATTTTATTTTCATTTAAAAGATAATATTAAAAATATTATTAATAAAATTTTATCTTATCATATTTTGAAAATGCTTCTAACGTTGTTTTATAATTTAATACGAAGGTGGTAATTTAATTGAAAGAGATTTATCCATTATTCTTAATATCTTTAGGATGATATTTTCTGTTATTAACAAAGTTTACTCCTTAATCCCTGTACTTACCAAAAGATTAATTTATTTACGCACGTTTTAATTTATTTATCCGTGTGCGTTTGAGTAAATTATTATTGGCAAATGATGTAAATTAAAGTGAAGTGAAGCCAGCCCCACCAGATGGTTCGCTGCTAATGAACCTTCGACAGGATTTATCCGCACTGCGTGAAGGGCGGTGATCAGTGACTGTGATCCCAATCACACGACGACACTGTGATACTCCGTCCGTGCCAAATTATTAAATACTTTTAAATAAAATATCACATATTAATAAATTATATTAAATATATTAAATAATTTTATTTTTTTAAAATAAAAATATAAATTTATAAAAAAATCTATAATTTAATACATTAAAAAGGGGAGGGAAGAAAATTAATTATAAAGAGAAAAAGAATAATATTAAAATTGATATATTTAATAAAACCTTAATCTATTTAAAATATCTTATTTTTAAAATGAAAAAAACTCTTTTAAAAATATTTTATAATTTGAAATAGAGAGAGTATATTGGATTGGATTTCTATAATAAATAAATATATAATTCACGCCAGAAATGCTGATCAAATGTTGTATTTATTATGTAATCATTACTTTAGATTTCTGTAATCTTGACATTGGATGGGCTCGCTCCCTCATTCTTTACTTTTTTTTTTTCAATAATAAAATTTGTAATCTTTTAAATTTGTCTTAATTATTAATTTAATCCTCAAAATTAAATCTTATTAATCAAGTCCATAATCTTAAAATCTCATAACATAACCATACACAATCAATCTTTATGGTGTCAATTCTCCTTCACACCACAAAAACTAATTTTGTATGATTATGAAATTTTAGGAAGTTGTGATCAAGATTAAATTTCAATGATCAAATTAATAATTGAAATAAATAGGGAAGATCAAAAGTTTCATTATTTCCTTTTTATCTAATTTTAAACAAGGAATTTTTTTTTTTAAGTTTAGAAGAGGGAAAAAATTCCTACCTGCAGCTGACAAATGATGATGATGATGATACAAAAGATTGGTCAGAATGTTACAATATGGGATTTGGAAACAAAAATAAATTCTGGATATTGGGTAAATTGTTCAATTGTATTAGATATCAGGCAAATAAAAAAAACATATTTTCTATATGCAACTCTTAAAACAAATTAAACAGATTTGTCTAGGGGCAAAAGTTGTTCGCTCATGTAAAGACTGTTTCAGTCTGGGCTTCAGAAACAGCGATAAATTTTTAGTATTAGGCAAATTGTTGATCAATTGGAGATGAGTACATTACAATTGTTATTTGTCCATCAACGGAGGATTACCAAGAGACCAAACTGTTTGGTTAAAGCAGATAAATTGCATCAATCTTTGTTAACCATTTGAATTTCTCATTTGCTACACTTTTTTTTTTTTTTTGGTTGGAGGGGGGGTTTTTGTTTAACAAAAGACAAAGCTCAATCTCATAAACACAAGTAATTCTTGCTTTAAAAAAAATGATGTTCATCTACCAAATACAACAAAACTATGTTGATAAGAGAAAAATATAGTACTTTCTCTATCCACTCTTCAATATTTAACTACACCAATTGGATTTAAAACAAGACCGTTGAGTTGATAAAAAGTTCATTATGAATAAATAAAATTACACATTTTATTGCATAAAACACATTTGATAAAACATACCTTTCAAAAATATTAAATATTATTATGAGCTAGTCTAGCTCATATTCGTTTCTTGGAATGTTATTTTATTTTAATCAATATCACCATCAATATAAGGTATACAAAATATAAAAATTTATACTAAATTATATTATTCTCAGATACAGGTCACAAAAAATCCTCACATAATACAGTTTGATACCCTGTTCATTTCACAAAAGCGCGCCTGATTATACGTAGTAAATTAGTCTATGACAACAAAAAATACTCCATCCGGTCCTAAATGTAAGAGTCAGTCAGTTAATTCACATAGATTAAGAAAATTAAGAAATTAGTTTATTATAAAAAAAATTGTGATGGCTTTTTAAAATACCTTTCATTTTAATCATTAACTTGTTCATATATTTGGAAATCTCGTTGCATATTTGTTTTTGAAGGCATAAATGTGGGTAAGGCTAATAAAAACAAGAAAGTGAAGTTGCCTTGATGTTTTCCAGGCAAATGTGGGATTAAATTGAATTATAATGGAATTTTTGATGAGGAAAAGGGCTGTGGGTATTGGGATTGTTGGAAGAAATAAATTGGGTAACTTTATGACAAGTATAAATGAAAAGGTGATGGGTTCTTCAGTTTTGATTATAGAAGCTTTGCTTATGACTGGAAAAATACTGGCATTATTAATGATATTTGTTGTTTATGGTCTTTTGTGAAGAATTATTGTTTGTCTCTTATTTGTAAGGATGGGAATAAAGCTACAGATTTTCTTGCAGGTGATGTTAAAAGTTTTTTTTTTATGTTCGATAATTGTTTTTCTTGGTTGCTTTTTTATTTTGTAGAACTTTTTTTTTTTAATGCTTTGGTGTGTTAGGTTGTATATGTAGGTTTTTTGAGGGTTTTTTTGGCTTCCACTATTAGTGTTTGTAATTGTTTTTTTATTAATAAAATTGGCTCTTTTTCTGGCAAAGAAAAAAATGATTGACATTGAAGTATAAACATCATACAAATATCTACTACAAGGGTGATCTGCCCCCAAATTTAAAAAAAAAAAAAAAAGCAAAGCAACACGAGAGACAAGAAAATTGAAATCTCATATTTAGGACGAAATCAAACCCCTCAACTAGTTTATATTTTTAGGACGAAGGGAGTAATGATCTTACATTAGTTGACACGAAATAGAATTTAAGATTCTAAATCCAAGTACAGGAGGCACGAATGCACGATATCCAGTCATAATATTACTTCTATATTTATTATGCTCAGTGAACTTCATGTTTTAATAGCTATACAGTATACGCCGAGTTTGCCTTCAAGTTTTTCCTTAACAATAGATTGAATAGAAAATACAGGTTTGTCGGGTTGATCTTTGGGCATGATATGGCAAATGCCACACGAAATTTAATGAAGAATCACAAATGATGACAATGAGATACGACTACGCATATCAGGAAGGGAAAAAAAAAATTGTTAAGACGCCCAGAAAAGAAAAAGACATTGACCAATGTCCAAATCTTTACCACAAGTAAACAAAATAGGAAAGAGAATAAATACATGTATATGAGTAATGAATGGAAATCGCATTGTCAAGAAATCGATTATGAAATATTCATGTGAAAGTCATACCGAGTACATAGGTCAACCTTTTCTTTAATTCTCAAGTCCTTTGAAGCTTAGCCGCCTCCAGCTTTTAGTGTATTACTCAACCTACGCAGACAAGAAGCTCATACATTAACACTGCACAATATAAACTAGCCAAAACCACAAGAGGAAAAAAAAAGGCAAAAGAGTGGAAAAAATAGAGAAATAAATAAAGCAAATACAGTCATTGCCATATTTTTCTTCAAATTGATATCTCCAATTATCTTAAAAACAAGTTTTTTTTTTTTTTAACGTCCTTAAATAAAATTCAACAAACCACCATAACGTTCACTCCCAGTATATGACATCCTAAGTACAAAGCCATGCGCACAGGGTGGGGAAATGAGGAGGCTTCAAATTTTTGGGGAAACCACATTTTTACCTCCATGACCTAAGGTTTAAATACAAAATTGGCGCATGAACTGTAATATAAAACCCCTTTTATTTTTGAACTACTTAAAACTAAGTTAAATGAACTGTAACAGACTGCCTTATTGCCTCGGCAATCTTTGTCGATAGGCGTCAACTTGGAATAGGATAGGAATGTAGATATATGAGGACATGTAATCTTCATGTGAATTCTTGTGGTTGATTTAAGCGAAATTCAATATTTTTTTTCCTATCCAAGGTTCAAAAGAAGTGTTTTGTACAATTTTAAGTCATATACCAATGATGCAAATAATCCCGCTGCATTAGCAAAATTTCAAATAACAAAAGCATGAAGGAACATTTAATGAACTATATTTGTGCAGTACGGGTAAGCCTTCTAAGCCTTTCAACTCATAAAGAGTGACCTTAGGTGATAGGTGAGAAGGGTAACTACTCATTACTAGATTACAAATGAATAGTTAAGATAATTAGAAAAACCAAACAATATTTTGGTTTTTATGGCACATTTATGACAATTTTTTTTACTTTATTTCAACCATTAATTTGTGATCTAATGGTACTTAGTTACTCCTCTCATCTCTCATTTAGGACAAACTACTTTCATTTGATATGCTTCTTGTGAAGAAGGTAAACTTGCCCCCACATTTTATGTCAATGTATCAGTTATCCATAAACCATTAGTTTCATCTATATGCAAATTATAATTTGAATACTCCTTCAAGATTCTACAGTACTTTCAATTAGGTGGTATAACACGTAGGCATCTGTTTCATTCTGATTCCATATTCAACTCTTAGGACTCAGAGACTGATAGACAATATCTTAACAATTTGTAAGTTACAGATACAAAACAAGTGGTTGTTAAGCAAGTTAAAGATCATTATTGGTAAAAAAAAATAAAAGGAATCAAAACAGATATTATTTTTTCGGAGACAGATCAAAAACAGATGTATTATTACTTAAGTTTATTTGACTTACCAATCAAGGCCCTCAAAAAGCCCTTCACCTTTCATGGCAGAAGCTTTAAAAATAGACCATTGGCGGTTTTTGATCTTGTGTAATTCTAAAGCTTCAGTCACTGCAGCAGCATCAAGGGCACCAGGAAGGTCCTGTACAGGGAGAGAAAATCTCAAAAAATAATAATTTAATAGAAATATATTTTTTAACAAAGCAAACACTTTCACCAACATTATCAGCTTCCTAACTCATTTAAATGTTCTCTATATTTGTTCCTTGGATAGCAGAATTGTAAAAGCCAAGATCAAGATCAAGTTCAGACCTGTTTGTTTGCAAAAATGAGAACAACTGCACCTTTTAGTTCTTCCTCCTGAGAAAAATGACCCAAGAAAGTACACGTTATTATTATTGCATACATTTATAAGCTTGCAAAATGCAACCACAAGCAACCTAACCAGTCATGTAGACTAGCAGGAAAGAATGCCAGAAAAAATAATAAATCAATTCCAATATAAGCATTATAATCCACTATCGTGTCTGCAGACAGAGTATCCACTAAAATAATAATGATAATGATAATGATAATAATAATAATAATACATGAATCTACATTTACATTAACTTAAAGATCAAACCAGTGGGGTGAATGTTATTGTGCACTTGTATAGCATTTCTCAGATACAAATGAAGCATTATAGCACTCACTTAATATGCCAAGACGAAATTACTCATCCAGTACTGTTATTTACTCGATAGTCTTTCAAGTTAGAATGACCACACCTTCATGATAGCTGCTAATGATAAGAAATAATAAATAAAAGCAATAAGCAAGGCAATAACACTAATTCCAAGGGGAAATACTGCTATAAGGCTATAATGTAAGCAATTTTAAACCTCCTCCAAGCTTAGATGTATAATACAATAGTTGTTTATTAAAAAAATGTTGTTATTATTGCTTGAAATTACTCATTCTAAGCGTTAATCTAACATGCATGTCTTCCACTCTCAATATCACTCCCCCACCCCCCAAGATACACACCATACCACATAATGCTCTACTGAAATCTTTATCAGTAATCTCTCCAACACTTCAAATTTAAATGATTAAATGACTAGTAGAAATCATAGATTTCGTATTTAGGTTAACAATGAAATTTTTAATGGTATTTACAGCCCTCAAAGGCATGAAACAATCACCATGGTTACTTTTGGCTCCATAAGAGTAGCCAAACACCATAAAAACATGACATCTGTGAGCACTGGAAATTCCCCCAATGATTACTGGACGTTGTTTAAATGTTCACAATTATACCTTGATCACCATGTGCCTTGATGTTCATCTATGGCGGTGTAAAGAAAGAGTATATCACAAGAAATGCTCCCCCACCAGGTGCCACATGCCTAAGGGCATGGTATGGTTTGCCAAAAATAATATGATCGTGTCTGGGATGGTGTAATCCATGACAACTGAGATAGGCAAAACCTCTGTAATCTGCAAGATCACAAAAGGAAACTTTTGAATTCTGTGAAGGACTCCTTTTAGGTCCAAATCCCGTCTTTGAGCTGTTCTAGGAAGAATTATGCCTACCAAACCCCTTCCCTTTCTAGAAGTGTTTTATGAGGTCAAATGGGAGGAGAGCAGGTGACAACTGACTGATGAGATTCAAATACTCAACCAATGAGTTATGACTGAAGCTTCCACCTTGGTCATTAGAAGCATTTTCACTCCTGATTTCAAACAGAAGGGTGGAAAAGAATGGTGTGACTATTGCAATAAGGCTGGCTGCGCCAAGTACATGTGTTGTACAATACATGGCAAACCAGCACACTGGAAATCAAGGCAAAAAGAGGAGACTAGTAAACGATTATAACCAATGAGAACAAAACTCAACTTGAAATTAATCTGTTTACCAAAAGTAGTGAGATTTAGGCATAGGGAACCACCCCTAAAAACACATTTTCAAGGAAAGTGAACTACTCTCATTAAGTACCACACTAAACACTGAAACACTACTCGATATGAAATTTAGATGTCCCGTAGTAACCACCAAGTCACGAATATAGCACTACCCTCTAAAAGCTTATGTCTTAGCTCTACATTTCACTCCAGCTTCTTGCACTGTCTCAAAGAGTAAAAACCATTTTCCTTAAGAACCCACACTAAATAGTCCACACTACTTGATGTGGTAGGCACTCCATTCCGCCCAATCCCTATTAGTTTCCTTTTATATTTCATGTTTTCTGAAACTTTTCATGTTTATTTCCTTTGACGGTAAGGATGATTAGTTAAATCTCTTAGCATCTGTTTTGGAATAAAGAAATTTCAGTGCCTTCAATGCTAATATTATAAGCACATAAAGACATCCACTTCAGTGCACAACGAGCAACTATTTCCTTGACCTACAAATCCTCCTTAATTCTTGTACCTATTAACACTAAATACGAATAAGAAGATAGAATGATGAGAGTTGACATCATATAACTATATTGCATTGTGAAACGTAAACCAGGAACAGCATACCTCAAGAATTGCATGAAATTCTTCTTTGGCAATCACCAGTCTGTCAGTGTCACTTGAATCTACAACATAGATTATTGCTTGAGTATTTGGAAAGTAGCACCTCCAATATGGCCTATGCAATGAAAATCAAAACAAGTTGTAACACTCATGAAATCAATCGAAAGTTCATTTTCAACAAGCAAGTGTTCAAGAATAAGAGACTACATATAAATGCATGCCAGATAATTTTTCTCTACCATCTTATTAAACCATTCGTATCCTAAATCCATAGAGCAGAGTAAGATGATGTTCAGTCTTAATCGTATGCTTTTTTTCTAAATTTTCTGCTACTGTAATTTCAAAAAGAGTGCGTCCACAATTTCAACGAAATAATAAATGTCTGGGATTAACTGGTAAAACCAAAGCTGCTTCCTCTTTCTTGTTCATATATATAATCTTGAGAGTAAATTACATTTGCCTTGTGCAGAAATTTCTATCTGCACTCCTCTAGTTTCAGGATTTTAATCTGCCTTATCTTAATAAGATTATTAACAGACCTTATACATCTTCCAAAATGTCCAAATTACTCTAGCCTGCATCCCTGAAACACTGGAGGAAGCGTGGGCTGTTACTTAATTTCTAATATGGCCCCTATAATTTGCAATTTCATAATTGGTCCATTATAGTTATAAAAAACAATTTAATTTGGCTTCCTTTCATCAAAACTATGTCCAAGGGCTGTGAAATGGTGGTTGGTTCAGTGCATCTCTAGAAAGATTATCCACCTCAATCTTGACTCACATTGTCTCTGATCATCAAAATGCAAAAACTGATGCTTCACCACATTCAGATGGGCCAATAGAGAAAACTCAAAGTAAAGGAAATTAGCATAATATTTGAAACTATAGAGGGTGAAAGTACAGGTTTTATACAACTTTGGGAAATTGGATGTAATTTACCCTAGTATTAATTAAGTTAACAACAGTGACCATAACCTACCATTCCTTCCATTTTGAATTGCTTTTCTTCATTTATCTTTCATTTTTATATATTTACATTGCAGGAAGCATAAATGTTTACTGCTGCATAAGGATTCATCAAATCTATTACAAAAGAATGAGCCTCAGTTCAGTAATCAGATAATGACAACATCATTTAGATACATGCAACTCATATACTGAAGGAATGACAATACTGGAGCCAACCACATAATAGATTGATGCATGATCTTTTTTTCTATTTTCATGTTACTGCTAGGTAAAAACATATAGTAGGCCTAAGCATCTTATAAGTAATATGCTTCATTACGTTGACTACTAAGTAAAAACCTAATTCTTCCTAAAATTGTTCACTTCTTGTATTGACTAGCGACTGAGAACAACCTTACAGCTACTCAAGTCTTTTGTCTCAATCAAAGAAATTGCATGGTATATTGTTTCATACCATAGCAATGAATGTGAATAAATTGTAAAATCCTCTAAAATAACGTCACATGCTAACTCACAACAATCTGTCAGTTGGGCATGATCATAGTACATAAAATGAAAAAATAAAAAAGATCACATTAGCATAGGGTGGAAACAAATCTCGAAGTTCACAAATTATTACCCTATAAAAGAAAGGGTCAAGAAAAAAGAAGAAGAAGCAGGGATATGAAAAGAAAACCACATCTTAAATCAGTAAATTGAAACAAATCTAAAACCATATGTTACCTGATACTTGTTTGCCCACCTGTTTCAACAAAGATATACTATCAGAATAAGAAACTGAAATAACTATTTGATTAAAACATGTTACATCCCCAGCAATTACAAGTTCACAGGTTGGGAACAATAATATATAACTAATGAAAGTACAAAAGCAAAATTGGCTATTGGAGAGGGAGTTTATTTCCTTCAATACATAGATGCAAGAAAATCCTAAAGGATCAATATGAAACAAGACATAAATATGTCAAAATGAATCCTTTATCATTCACAGGTGCCAGTACATGTGCACACATAGAAAGAGAACAAAATCATGCCATCTTCCCACTATATTGGGTGCTAACTTGTGAGTTATAATTTAAAAATAGATGAGACTTTGCATAGAACATAGGTCCTTTCGTGCTTGCTTGAATTAAGCATATACAGAGAAATGTCATGCAGATGAAATATAGTCCATCAGGTATAGAAATACCAGGAAATCTCATTGAGATGCCAATTTAGGAGCAAGACAACCATTTAAGTTTATTTTGTCAAACAATCATTTAATGTGTAAGATACATATGTGAGCATGTACTAATTGATAAATCACTGGTTGAACGATGTAAAGATGTCAACGCAATAATATTTTCCATTATCAACCAATAATATATGATTATCTCTTTTATTTTAAATCTGTGTCGCATGACAAATGCAATGAAATTAGATGCCATGACCGATTACACACAGATCTTGGTCTTGGAAATTCAAGTGCTTACCTAAATCCCAAACTTGAAATTTAATGTTGTTATATTGCACTGTTTCAACGTTAAATCCAATTGCTGCATCCAATAATTAAATCAATTAGTCGTTTACCAAAAAGGAAATATCAAAGAGCATAAACAACGTCAGTGCTGGAAACACATCAAGTATGCAGTTTGCAGTGCACACATCCAAATAAAGTTACACCAAGAATTCAGAATTATTCTTATATCTCGAACCGTGACATATGAAGAACAAAATATAATTACACAATATACCCAACAGAATGATTTGCTTTTCACAAAATGATTTCCAAGAAGATCCAACGGAGACCAAAACCACAGAAGTTAAAACTACAGCAGATCAGAAATAAAAACAAACCATGAAACAAAGAGAATGTAGAAGGTTAGATTCTGATAATCTTAAAACGAGAAAGAGTACCAACTTGGTATTGTGGAGACAACTTCACCCATTTGAAGCCGATCTGAAAAGGTATGGCAGCAATAACCAAGAAAACGTTAACATCCTAGAAACGGACACACAAAGGTTTGATCAGGGTAAGCAGAGAGTTCGGATGCATACAGAGAATTGTGGTTTTTCCTGCATTGTCGAGGCCAAGAACAAGGATTCTGGCTTCCTTGTTACCGAAGAGGGAAGAAAACAATCTGGTAAACACTAAACCCATGTTCTGATTGCGCCGAGAAGGACTAGCAGAGCGCACTTACTGCACCAATAGTAGTCAAATCAGAAGAAGAAACTCTGATTTACGAGAAAAACCAAGATCAGATCTCAAAGCAGGACCACGAAGCTCCCCGCAAGACCACGGGTAGGAATGAATGCCAATGTCAATGTCAGAGTGAGACTGAAGTGCTCTTCAAAAGCATGCGTTTGCGAGCCTGAGAAAGACGGGAGCGCCTGCTATTGAATTTCGAAAGCAGAAGCACTCCAGAGGAGAGGGATAGAAAGCCAGAGAAGGATTTGGGTCTGCGTCCAAGAGACGGGTGACGACCCTGCTCTCTCAGAAAATCAGAAAATCGAATAAAAAATGGAATGGGAAACTACACAGTGACGAGGACCACGACTCAAGCACAGGGGACATCTCCTTTCAACTATTTTTCCTGAATTCCTTCGTGTCTTTCATATATATTTTTAGTATTAACATTAATAGAGTATTGATTTCGATTGAGAAAACATAACTTCAGATTTATACATTTTAGTCGTATTTTATTATTAATTTTTATATTTTTTTAATATTTTAAGTTCTCATATTTTTATTTGTCAATATTTTTGGTCCCTTCATGCAAAACAAAAATATTAAAAAAAAAAAGAAATGTTGAAACTTAAAATATTAAAAAAATGTAGAAATCAATAACAGAACAATAATAAAAGTGTAAGAAATATAATTAATGTGTCATATTTTTTAATTTTTTTATGTGTTCTTAATTTTATTTTAATAACTAATATTTTTTGGACTTTAAAAATTATTAATTAAAAACAAGAATATAATTGAAAAATAGAAAAATGAAAAACAAACAAATGATAAAATAGTAGCATGACCATGAAATGAGATAATTACTCTAAAATTCTTAGGTAATATTATAAATTCTTTTATGAAATTATATTTCTAACCATCTACAAATAATAAAAAGTACAGGTGTTAAAATTTAAATCAAAGTTATTAATGACAAAAATAAGTTGTTAATATAAGAAATGTAGTTGTTGTTGTTTGGCTTAATTGAATTTATGGTTAGCTTTGTTTTGAATAGCTAAACTGAAATTGTTAATCATTAAGTTGAAATTGTTAACAAAAAAGTTTACCTTTTAATTGCATAACTAAATTAACAATTAAAATTTTTACATTAACAATTTACTTTCATTATTAAAAATTATGCTTTTTATATTAACAATTTTACTTTCATTATTAACCAATTAGATTTTAACAATGATGCATTTTATTGTTTTATTGAGGGTCAAAATGCAAAAAAAATGTCAAATTAGTTAATAAAAACTTTAAAGTAATTATTCCATTTTGCAGTATTTATTTATCATTCTTTTTAACAATTTTTTATGGAAATTAAAAAATATTTAATATTGTCTTAAAATATGCAAAAGACAAAAAAAAAATTTGGAGGGGAAAAAAAACTTAAAATGAAGAAGGGGTATACTGGGCAGGTTGGAATATCAGCCTCCTGCAAGGGAAGTATGGAAGCGTGTAAAGCATCCTATAATATTTATGATTCATTTGCAATATTTGTTAAACAATAAATCATTTTCGAAAAAGAAAGTGAATAACTGTATTCTTATTTCTATTTTCTTTTATTTTGTTATAATTTAAACAAGAACGGGGCTGGCCTGGACCATTAATTCAAAGGAAATGGAACCAGATGGTTGGGTTTTAAGCCCCACCACCTGCTCAAGCTCGTATTCTTCCCCAGGATTCAGAGAATCTACAATCTCATGGATCTTATTTTTCTTTGGACCAGCTTGTTTTGGAGGCAGATCGTGCAGGAATTAAATATTTCGCTTTGTTGTTTCAGTTGTTTTCTGTTTCTGGTTTTTACTTGTTCTGTTAGCTTTTGTTTCTGAACTCTGTCTGCCTCCGAGCTTTTAATACGTAATTTTGGTTGGTGAAAATTAAACAAGTAGTTTTTACAGACTTTAGTGATAGCAATGAGTTTTAATTTTTTAGAACCTGAATAATCATCAACCAATCGTGGTTGGGAGTAAAATTCTTCCCCCCATTTCTCGTTTCACAGTTCCTTCTACGAAGTATACTTCCTTCAATCCTATATCTAAGTCATATTGTTGAAAGAATTCATGATTTTTTTCATGAGTCACTTTATATATAAAAAAAAGTATATTATTAATTACTTTCTTTAATTTTGCCCTTTTACATTGTTGAATGATTATAGAATAAAAAGTTACATGAAAGAAAAATATTACTCTTTCCATTCAACAATATTTTCTCTATTATTATTTATAAATCACTTTCAGTATATTTTATTAAAATTAAAAAAATTAAACTTCATTAGCTCTGTTATAAATTTTATTAATTTTTTTATCTCTACTTTTAATAAAGACAAGCATTTATTAAAAGCAAAAAGGTAAAAATAAATATAAAAAATGATAAAAATGCCTTATAAATAAGGAGTAAAAATAAAATTAAAGTATGAATCTGCTTTCAATGTTTTCAGCTAGACACACTACATATTCTAAAATATTTTCTAGCACAATTTTGCCCCAACATTTTTCAAATTGGTATAGTCTTACCCTATCATTAAGGTTTGATTGTGTTGATTGTTAAATCAAGAATTTTGACCATGAACTATCCAGCTAGGTTGCTATGTAATAACATCGATCATTAATTTCAATTAACTCAACTAACTGACAATTCTTAATTGTAAGAATCAATCATGGTTAAACCAAAATATTTATTTCATATGGAAGACGAAAACAATGTGATCCCAAAAATTATTTTAGATTAAATAGTTGAATTAAATTATACAAGAATCAAAGTACTTGAAAATATGGAGAAATATAAAATATAAAATGTAACATTGAGAAAGGAAAGATAAAGGGCAAAACAATCATTAAGGAAAATTGCATCAGTTCGCTACGGCTAGGAGCACCTTTGCCTTCTTCATATCCATGATTAATGCATTGTGTATTTCCCCTCGAGTTATGCTCTTTGATTTTGCCCCTTGTGATGTTTCTAGGAAAAAATTTCAATGAGAGACCCTTGACAAGAGATAATAAAAAAGCGGATCCTGAATTTTTGAAATTTCATTGAAGGATTTGTATGGATTTTCAATATAATTTATGAAAGAAATGATAAAATTATCCTTGTTTAAATGAATAATACAAACGACTTGTTGTTCCATATTGTATGTTGTTCATTTATTTAAGGGGTATTGTTTGTTTTATTTTTTTTATTTGTTTATAGCTTTAGTTTCACTTAATTTTATTTTAAATGTTAGTTTCATAATAAAATAACTTATTCGTTCTCACACTATATATTGTTCATTTATTTATGAAATGTTGTTCGTTTTCTTACTTCACTTGTTTATGACCTTAGAATAAAATTAAATAAAAGTAAGACTATAAATAAGTAAAATAAGAAAACGAACAATATATAATATGAAAACGAATAAGTCATTTATATTGTTCATTTAAATGAGGGTAATTTTATCATTTCTATCACAAATTCAAATGAAAATGCATACAGGTCCTTTAGTAAAATTTTAAAAATTCAAGGGCCTCTTTTTCATTATCTTTAATCAAGAATTCCTCACTAAAATTTTCCCTTTTTCTAATAGTATTTGTTATTTTTTTCTAAAATGGTCTGGCTCTTCGTTCAAACTTTGTTAAAAATTCATTGTGTAAGAATATGTCAAGACATGAAAGTCGAACCGTTGAAAATTTCTAGATTGTGAGAGCCGAACCAAAGCACAGGCTTGTGGGCATCTTTTTTTTTTTTTTTTACCTTGGTTCGATTGAAGGGGTTTGAGGGGTTCAATTGGCATAGGTTGACTAACCCTGTATGATACAGTTGCTGATTTTGGTTCTAACAAGAATTTCTCTAGCCTTGGGGCAAGGGATTGTTGTTAATTTCTTCTCAAAACTCTGTTAATTTCTTGTTAAACCTCTGTTAATTTCGAGGGGTATAAGGGATTGTTGTCAATTAAATTATTCAAGGGTTGTTACATTGATAAAGAAAGACGATGAAGTTTAGGTTATGTTGGAGGTGATAAACTTAGAATAATAACTTAGTTGGGGTTTTAGTTTAAAGATAGATGATGAAGTTGATAAACTTCATAAGAGATGAAGTTTGGGATTAAAGGTTAACATCCTGTTCAAAGACGATAAAATTAAAAATATTTTATGACAAGAAATGCACCTGAAAAGAAACATTGAAGGTAAATCTCTACTCTGATCCATAAAATTATTACGAAGGTGTAACCTAACAGCTCTGACATATGGCTGGTAGATTCAGGTTAGTCCAAGTCGTTTGGTTTCTATGAGCAATTGAACATCATTTGACTATGGATTCTAGCGTCTGTTACGGCGTCCGTTTCACATGATTTACCACCCTTAATCTGTATACAATATACTGAAAAATATGTCTGCTTAACGTAAATAAGTTCTGGTCAAGGGGGGAAAAATTTCCACATCAACACACACAATTTAAGTATCAATATTACGGCGGCGAAACTTATTGAACCAGCTTACGGTGGGCTTGTGCTTGACCTGGTTGAAGCAATGCGCAGGCGCTTGGGTAACTGAATCTGGCAAAACCGCACCTTCCTCATAGGTTATGACGTGTGACGATATTCCTGCAAAATCACATCTATTACTTATTAGAATCTTAGAATCCATATTACTTTTTAAATTTTATTCTGCAAATAAAATTATCTCTACAAAAAACAAAAACAACATTCTTGGTTGCAAAATGAACACAGAAAACAACGCATATGTTTTAGTATAATTATTAGAAAAGGCTGTCTATATAGCCTCTTAACTCTTAAGTACAAAATTTTATATTTTAATCTGCGTAAATGCAGAAAATACAAAAAAAAAATTCCAAACAAATTTACGTGGCTAGTTAGAGTCCGTACGGTATCATCTTGGACAGGAAGGTTCAATAGCAACTATAAATCACGAAAGACACTAAAGTAATGTCATATACCAATAAGAGACCGAATATGCAAATGTCATCTTGGGTCTCTCATTTAACAAAAAGAAACACTGAAATTTGGATAATTTATTAAAGCAGTTAAAATACGTTTCGAGAGTTAATGATTAAAATTATAATTAAATTATGATTAAATTAATTATAAACAAAATATTTTATGAAATCAATGAAGATATACTGATTTAATAGTTTACTTGTTTAACTAGGCGGTCGACCCGGTTTCCATGGCAAGGAGAAAATGCAAATATGCCAACGCAACAAACCAAGTTTCAACACAAAACGCCAGCCTAGCAACAAGACCACAAAGACACTAAAAAGTAAAAGCCTCACACGAAACACAGAACAGTCCTAAGAAAATCAGTCTTGGCCTATAGTAGACTGAAAATGTATTGATGCAAATGTGAGCTTAAATTCTCTTCAAACGTGTCGTTTACAGATAATCATCATATTATAGCCTCCTCATGATTTCCTTTTCCTTCTGTATTCCCCCAATCACAAAGAATGAGAGAGTGCGATCCATTCTGGTGTTTAAACTTTGCCCAAAAAAAAAAAAAAACAGAAGAACTTGTGTGAAATTGGAAACTTGGAATTTAGAATGATACCGTCGTAGAAGTCCCATCGAACGGGCTTTCTGGTAAGAACATCCTCGTAGTACCAAATGAAGTCGACCTTCTCCCAAACGTGGCAGAGGAAGCCGTCGGTGACCTGAGTTCCAAGGTAATTAGCGTTGTCCAGAAAATCTGGCCTCGGAATCCCAACCTCGAACTCCGTCACCCTGCACGTAGGGTTTGGCCCCAGCGTGAAGTAATACGACGTGCCGTTGTCCCACTCGACGTCGTACAGGATGTCGCCGGCCAGCTGCCTCCGGAAAATGTTGACGTTCCGACCCTTGGGCCAGTCGTACCAGAGGTCACTGAGTTGAAGGCGCGTGTCGCTAAGGTTCATGTACAGAAGCGCGTGGAATTGGTCCGGCCAAGGCCTCGGAGTTGGGGTTGATGATGAACGTGCTGGGCTGCTTATGAGCAAGAATATCAGAGAGATTAAGCACAGCGATTTGAGGTTCAATTTCATGTTTCCGTGGAAGAGCACCGGGTCTGGTTTTTCTGTAATTTTATGCGAAGTTCTATCTTTTCAGCGAGCAATTCCTTCAGATGAGTTCTTTAGCTAGTTCATCTGCCACCTGGCTTGATTCTGGATCACAAATGTCTACCCGTACAAGCCAACTTTTTTCTTTCTTTCTTTCTTTCGTTCGTTAGCCTCCATCACAGAATTTTAAAAATATTTTTCAAGTTACCTTTTATGTTTCTTATAATTATTTTCGATCTCTTGGGATTTCTTATATTTTATATTTATAATATTGGTGATCATTTTTCCGGCCAGATATTGATATAATTTATATTAGTTTTAATAGTTTTATTATTAGTTTATTACATTACAATCAAAATATAATTAATTATAATCACTTGATTTAAAATATACATTTTTATACAAAAATGTATTAACTATTTATTATTAAAGTAATTATATTATTTATTATATTTTACGGTTAATATGTAATTTATTCCTTAAATTAAATGTTCGAAGATTTGAACCCTAAACTAAGAATTGATATATTTTGAATCTTACATAATTAAATTTAGGATAACTTTATTTTTTTTACCATGGCTAATGTGGGTGAGATGATAATTTTGAGTCTACATGATCCAACCCCACCTATTTCATTTGCTCATTCAGTCATTCTCAACCTCACCTACCTCCTTTAACCTTTCATTTCCTCACTTAGATTTGATGGCTAAGGAGAGTAACAATAGCCTAAAGCCAAATCATCTTCTTACTCTGTCATTACAAGAACCTTACTAGTCGAGTCATCTTCTTCCTCCTTAAAGTGTCTATAGCCCTAGAAGAAGCTTTTTGCCTAAGCCTGTTGGAACATTTAAAAAACTAAATGTAAAAAAGTTTAATCTGAAGATGCCACCTTGAACAATGACATCGCTTTCTCCAAAACACACTAGATTATCGATGACATGAAGCTTCAATCCAAACTTGATCTTTTGAACAAAATTGACACCAGGCATGAAGCTAGATGGAATCCTCCTAATCTGGGGTGGGCCAGACTGGATGTGGACAGCTCAGTTAAACATAATGGTGTAGTTGCTTGTGAACGGCTTATTAGAGATGACAAAGATAACTGGATTAAGAGATTCTCCAAAATTTTGGGTTATCAACTTAGCACAGCAGTTGAACTTATAGGAATTTTGGAAGGACTCAAATGTGCTAGGATGCAAAGATTTCCAAAATGAATGTTTACTCTAATTTTATAAAGGCTTTGTCCTTTATTGATAGTAACTTCTATCATAACCATCCTTTTTCAACAACTATCAGGAACATCAGAAATCTCACTATAAGGGACTGAGAGATCACCTTTGATCATGTTTATAGAGAAGCCAATTGGTGTGCTAATTTTTTAGCCCACAAGGCTTCAAGAGATCACTTTAAGATTACCTTTTTTGACATACCATCAGCTGACTATAAAAGTCTTTTGGCTTCTAACATGACCTAATTTTTTGTTTTTGGTCTTCTTGTATAGTTTTATTGTGGCCTTATATTCAAATAAAAAAAGTGCCTATAGAGCATGTAGCTCATAGTTGAAACTTCCACCTTTTAATCTCCTTCCTTGCTTCTGACATCCGGTAATGGCTAATCAACCTTGAGCTCACTTCATCTCTTGTAGACACTAAATGGAATTTTTTTTGGCCAAGCAAATGCGAACACTTTATAGATATGGATTTTGGGTTTTGATTGTTCTAGCTTGTTTTAAATTGTTAGGCCAAAGAATGGATATTGTTTTAGGTTTTGGGACACTTGAAGGCCAAAGAACATGCAAGTTGCTCTTTGGACTAAGTAGAAGAGAACCTCGTTACTCTCAAAACTAGGATACATTGCTATTGTAATTTCCAAGTTCTCCACTTAATGCAGGAGCCCTTTTGATGAATTTGTTGCTTTGCTTGCATTTGTTAAAGTTATTGCTTCATGCTAGCTTGTTCAAGTTATTGGAAGTGGAAGGGGGGAGGGGGAAGAGAGAAAGGGGAGGGAAGAAAAGGCAAGGAATGAGAGATGCAAAGTTTATTGTTCATTCCATTTGAAAATATTTACCTACACATATGGCATGCCACTTAGGCAAAATATGGTTAAAAAAAATCTCTCTCTCCTTTTCCAATGGTCCACATTGGATCAATTTAATGATGGCAATAGGGTTGCCCCAAATTTAATTGTTTAGAATTCCAAATATACTAATTATGAACTTAGGATTTAAATTACAAATGAACCTATAATTTAGGATCTAAATTACATATTAACACTATATTTTAATTTAAAAAAGATACTCCCTTTGTTTAAAAATATAAAGTATTTTTTGAGAAGTTAGATATTTAAAAATGTAAGGCATTTTTAGTCTTTCGAGGTGTAACCATTTTCTTTTTTTAAAGTGTCCTTATTGATAATAATTTTGTATTTATTGTAGGGTATTTAATAGGGATAAATATGAAAAGATAGGATTAATTTGAAAGTGGGTAACTACTTTATTGAGAATGAAATTTAATTAAAAATACTTTATATTTTTGAATGAAGGGAATACTAACAATGAATTTTTTTTTCACTTGAATAGTACACACATGTATATTAGACATCAAGTGTGTGTGTGTGTAAATTCTCATGGATTTATAAATTTATTTTAGAAACAAATTTGAATATGCTGATTTTTTTATTAAAGAGTATGATACATTTTAATGTGATGACCTTAAGTATTTAAGTTTGAGATTTTATGATGGAATAAAACAATGAAATGGAATCAAATGAACTAAAGATCTATTTGGCTAGGGTGAAGGGAGGGGAATATCGACTTTCATCGAAAAAGCTAAGTAACAATTTAAAATGAATAAATGAGTAAATTTGCCCTTAAATTATAAATCTAGAAGTGTATAAAATCCTAAACTCATTTTTTATACAATATTTTTCTTTAACTTTTAAAAACGATGCAATTTGATCTTTAGTATTATCAAAAGTTAACTTATACCTTTAGTTAACTAGAAAATAACATAAAAGGAAAACTTATAAGTAACAAGTAACAACATAAGTTGAAACCTTTTATACCTTTTTTAATAAAATGAAAATAAAACCCTTTACACTTACTGTATATGTACTTGAACATTTTATAAAACAATGGGCACCCAACTTAAAAGTCTAATATTAAAGAAGGCTTAGAATATTGTTTCTTTCATGCTTTCTGCAATATCTTCAAATGTTTAATCACAATTAAGTTTGCAAATCCAAGATAATTAAAGAGCCAATCCTAACAAAGATTACTAAGTTTATAATTTATAAAAATAAGATCTCAAATTTTCATAATTTATAATTATTAAAAGAATTATTTATCAAACTTTTCATCAAAGTAAAATATTATTTCGGAAGTATGAGATGTATTATAGGAGTGAAAAGATTTAAAATCTATTGAAAAACATTAAGTCATGAAAAACAAGGAGACGCACCCATGTGTGCCGCGGTTGTCCCTCTCTACACCATGTGCAGCAGCGTGTTGCCCATAATAGACATAAATTCTACTGTCATTTGACAGCAGCCCGGGCCATGGCGATGTTAGTGGCCATGGTGATGTAGAAATATTTTTGTGTTTGAGAAATGCAGAGCTAGTAACAAGACGATTGATGATAGCACCAGAGCGATGGTTCAGAGCATGAGAAAAGCAAGTGTGAAACTATTAGGCAGGAAAACAACACCAAAAAGGTTTAATAAATGGCAACCTCCTAACTTGAATTGAGTGAAATGTAATGTTGATGGAGCCTTCTCCCATCATGATCAGAAGAGTACCTGTGGGGGTTCCTCAAAATTTCAAATAGCTAATTCTTGTTGCATTTTAGTTGCGGAATAGAGGAGAGGTACATCCTTGCATTTGAACTCTGGGCATGCTCTTTTTGGGATGAAGGATTTTGTAAAGTGGTACATGAGACAGATTCATTTGAAGCTGTTGATCTTAGAAAGTTTAAGTGTAATGTTGAGCATATTGATCAAGGGATCATCTTGGAATCCAAGGTATGCTTCAATGCAACTGGGAAGTGTATGTCAATTGTGTGAGACATAGGAGGAATAATGCTATTGATTTTCTAGTAAAACACGGTCTTTTTTTGAATTACAAGGCTACGGTAAAACCATGCAATAGACTAAGATCTAGTTATATCTAAAACCATAAAACCATAAAGCTTCTACACTCATGTGGTGGTACATCAAAAATTATCATATTAAAGGTTTTGTGCGAAGGCCGGTGAGCTAAAAGATCAACGCATCTGTTTGCTTCTTTATGAACATGGTCAAAAGTAACTATCTAATCTTTCATAACAAGATCTCTGATCTTCTTGATAGTGTCAGAATAAAGATGTCTGTCAGAGTAGGTACAATTAATGAGTGATAAAGCTTCCATCGAATCAGAGTGGATATTGACTCTTGATAATTTTGCACTCCAGCAAAGATTTAGTCCCTCAAGAATCCCTATAAGTTCTGCTGCTGTGCTAAATTGATATTCGAGATACTTGGAATATCCTTTAATCCAATTTTCCTTCTCATCCCTGAGGATGCCTCTACATGCTGCTGCACCATTAGTGTTAATAGAACCATCGGTGTCAAGTCTAACCCATTCGGGTTTAGGTGGACTCCATTTCCCGTCATCTGTAGAGTTGTAGTTGCTGAAGTAGGTGATTTTAGATAGAAGCTTCAAATCATTATTAATCTGTTGAGTGTTGGAGAAAGCAATATCATTGTTTGGGATGTCATCTGCTGAGTATAATTTGCTGCATCTAGCTTTTCAAATATTCTAGCAGGCTTGTGCAAAGAGTTTCTGCCATGACGTTCTTCTTGTTCTTAAACTTCCTGCTTCATTCTTTGCATTCTAGACTATCCAATCCTGTACATTAAAGGAGAGGAAGATGTTAAGCCTCGTAGGATTCACTAAATTTTTCTAGACTTTTTTAGTTTCTTCACAATCACGTAAAATATGAATTGAAGAATCAGGAGAGTTACAACCAAATAGGCATAGACATTGATGAGGAGCATCCCTGGATGCTCTCTGAAGATGATTTGAGGCAGCTTTTCATAGAAAATATTTTACTTTTTCATATGTAGGCTACTTCCAAATTTTGTCCATATATCATGGTGGTGTTGATCTTTATGAAAATTCATGGCTCTATAAGTAGATTTTATGGAGTAGTTTCCATCTGAGGAGGGTCTCTAAATGAGAACATCTTCTTCACCTTGACGGTTTGGAGATTGCACAAGTAAAATTTGTCTAATTACATCTGAGTGGAGGTAATAATTTAAAAGATCTACGTTCCATCCTCATGAATTACTGTGAAAATTAGAGATCTTGACATGGAGAATAGAATCAGCTTTTAGATAAGCATGCTTGACAAGAGGGTCAGGGAGCGGAGACCATTTGTTATATCAGAAAGATATTTGATTTTCTTTACCAACTTTTTAACTTACATGAGATATGAATTTATTTCAAACTTTACAAATGCTGCTCCACGTATAAGAGCAAAGTAAAACACGGTTTAAATATGCTGCTGGACTTGTGATATTCTCGAGTGCGCTTGTGTAGCTGCTGAATATTCTCCTGAAAGATCTCCATGGTGTCTCGGGTATTATAGGCTCGTCTTGGCCTTAGTTTAGCCTTTTATTATGAAAAAATATAGACAGTTTCAATTTGATATTAAATATTTTTAATAAATTGATTATTTTGTCTAAATTATATATATACTGTTTAAAATATATTTAAATAATTAATTTAAATTTTTAATATTAAATTTGAATTATTTATATTAAATCAGATTAATGCATATGTTTATTAAATTTTTTTTATTTTTATATATTTTATTTTTATATAAAAATAAAAAATAAAAAATGAAAATTTTGAATCATTTAAATTAAATCTTGACTGGTGCGTTCCCTCACCTGTTCAGTAATTCCCAAAATTCCAAATCCCATCCTTGACACTTTGCTTCGAGCTTCGCTCTCGAATTCCGTCACGTCTTCTTTAGGCCAAAAAAAAAAAACAATCACGTCTTTGCTCTGAGGTTGATGCTGTTGTCCTCTCGAGTTCTGGTTAACGGCGTGCGTCGGTGGTGGGCTCTCCATTTTGTTGTCTCATATGTCGTCGGCGTTTGTCGCTCACTCGCTCCCCTCTCCTCCTTCACTTCAGCTTGTTCGTGTCGTAGGTGGTGGCCGGTGTGCTCATGGCTTTCACATCTCAGGCATTTCTCTTCACTTCACCTTAGCTCTCTCCCTAATGTTTGCGGCTCCTCTCCAGCGTGTCTTCACTTCACTCATATCTCATCCCATGAGTGTTACTCATAGCCATCTTCTCCCCTTCAAGTTTTCCAGGTTCTAGGTTTTGATTATTTGAAGTCTGAAATTTGAATCTTTTAAACTTGTTTAGTTGAAGTACATTTGTTGCTACTTATGATTAAATTGAATCTATAGTTTGATCTGGTTGAATTGAATGTATTTTATAAGGGAGAAAGATGAGATTTTAGGGTATAAATCTAAAAGTCCATTTTTTTTTTAAAAGGCGGCGGGCGGGCGCGCCAACCCGCTCATGTAGGCTCGAGCTGGGAATATGCCAGCCCACCAGTAGAGTATTTTCAACCCGTGCCCGTGACCTGCAGCAGGCCAGCTTGCAAATCCTAGTTGGCTCGCATTTCCATCTCTGCTTGAAACAAGCTTTTCCTCCTATGAAACTCAGCTTGAGTTCTTATTAGGAGTGTTCAATTTAGACCCGTCTCGATTGGTCCGGTATCGTCCCGATTATATCGAGACGGGTCTTGTTCTGGTTCGAAAATAATCGGGATGGGACTTTATAGGACGGGACAGGAAAGGGATTCGTAACGGGACGGGACACGGGATTACCATCGGGACGTCCCGTTCCGTCTCGAATATTATATATATTATTTTTTATTTTAAATATATTAATTATATTAATATAATTTATACTTATATTAATTATATCAATTATAATTTTAATACTTATAATTTTTATTTAAAACTAAAGTGTTTTTATATTGATAATTTTAATAGCATGGAGTAAACATGACGATATCTTTTTTATAATGTATTAATTATATTAATATAATTTATTCTTATATATATATCTATTTAATAACTTTTATTTATAACATATTTCTTGCTTATTTTTAGAAGAGTAATTAGCTTAGTACATCTTCACTAAAGTAGAAAAATAATTATTTGATGTTGTGTTTGACTTGCCTGTTGTTGCTAATCTTATAGCATAAAGATCACTTGTATTTTTTAATTATAATATGTAGTTGTGATTAATATAATTCAATAATTGATTTTAAATTATTGTTATTTATGTACTTGTGTTATTTTAATTTTAAACTTAATAAATTATATAATTTAAAATTTTAATAAACATTATTATTCAATTTTTTTTAATATTATTCTATTTATTGGAACGGCGGGATGTCTCGATCTTATTCCGATCCCGTCCCAATCTTTAACGAGACGGGACAACTTTCAAGACAAGACGGGACATGAGATTAAAATTCAATGTCAATTTTTTTTTTCAGGATTGTTACAGGACCGTCTCGTCCCATGAACACCCCAGTTCTTACTTATGAGAGAGAGAGAGAGTGAGAGACCGTAATTGGTTTTGGTGACAGTAATTCTACTCTGCCGAAACTGTTCCATTTTTGGAGATCTCGCAGGAATTCGATTCCTTCTCGTCAAAATCTCTCTGTAGTACCATCCTCCTATTCGACCTCTGATATCCATAGGGTTGGGTCATCTTTACTGCCTCAATTCGCTCATGGATTTTTCTTTCTTTCTATTTTCTTGGTTATAATTTCATCAATACATAAACGGTTACTGTTTTAATAGCAAACTTTCGTTACTCCACTTGTCTTCTGGTGCAGAGGATGAACACGGGGCCAAGAACGAGCATCGGCAACGCAGTCGATGTCTGGCAGCGGGAGGTCGGCGAACTATCTGGCAGGAATTTCGTCCAGGGTCTCGGTGTCTAGGATGTCTGACTATCCAGAACTCTTTAGTATTGGCTTCCCTTTTATTATTTTGCTCGCATTTTTCCTTGTCTGTTATTTGCTTGTTGATGCCTATGTTAACTGGGGGAAATATGTTTTTTATTGGCGGAAATGCAATGGTTTAGAGGTCATATCTGTTGTAGGTTGATGCTGGGGAACGTTTCTTTTTCACCAGATGCTATGGACTTTTTTCCTTTTTTAATTGGTAACTTATGTTGGTTGTTGGCGAAAATTTTAGGCTAACTTCTAAACGAAGAGGAGCTATGAACAAGGTAGCGTTGTTCTTGTGAAGAGTGTGGTGGGCTTCGAATTAATGTAGCTATTGATGAAGGTAAATAATTAGGTTTATTCCCGTGTGGAATTTAAGTTTTTTGCATACAGATACAAATTCACTTGAACGGAAGTCAATGTAACTGGAGGCTTTATATAACTGTTGTGCCCTTAATTTAGCACCATTTTAGTGCATGTATTTTGCCATCTAGAAGAGATAAAAGATAGTTTTAAGATAATAAAACCATTTCAACTAGTAGTATCTTTTATACATTAGTATTATAAGTTCATTTCTCTTCTTCTCTATTAACAAAATACTCCTCTAGTCCTGTTTATAAGTCACTTCCAACATATTTTATCAGATCAAGGAAGACCTTAAAACTCATTAACTCTGTCTTAAAATTTAATAAGTTTTTAACTTTGTCTCTATTAAATATACACACTTCAATAACATATTTTCTGTTTTCAATATTCAATGGAGGGTAAAAAAAGAAATTTATGATAAAAATTTAATGATGTAACTTATAAATTGGATCAAAAAAATTATTCTCTCTCTTCTTTATAAATAGGACCATAGGGAGTATTTGATCAAAGATAAAAAATTTTGGTTTTGGAAATATTCAGACAATCCCTTGTCTCATAGGGCGCTGGACTTGGATTAGAAGTGATTTTATCACCGTAAGAGCTGATTGGGATTTTTGATATAATTTATTTTGAAATTTTGTCACAATAGGCATGCCAATTTTAATGACATATTCTCCCTTGATATATTGATAGTACTGGACTCGCATTATTTTACCTTATTTGGTGTAGGTGTAATGCACATCTGTTGTACTTCTACAGTTCTACTTCATCTTCTCTTAGGTTGGATATACCTGCATAGCTGCTCGCCAAGCATAGTGGCAATGTTCTTTAGAGTTGTAATGAAACTGAGCAAATTACGTCTGCTTCCCTGCGTGCCAACCCTAAAACATAGGCTTAACTATGACTGTACATTCCTCTATTATCTTGGCTTATCTTCCTTTGTGAAGAGCTTTTCTCAAACACCGAAATCATACCAGTTAAACAAAAAGATATCCCATTTAATTCGATCTGGCAGATTAAGTGAGGCGAGAGCTTTGTTTGATTCCATGAAGGAGCGAAAAATCATTACCTGGAATTCAATGATCAGTGGATATGTTCAACGGAGAGAGATGGCTAAAGCACGTCAATTGTTCAATGAGATGCCTGAGAGGGATACTGTGTCTTGGAATTTGATGATATCGGGCTACATATCTTGTCATGTTAGTCGTTATGTGGAGGAAGGAAGAAAATTGTTTGATCTAATGCCAGATAGAGATTGTGTTTCTTGGAATACTATGATTAGTGGGTATGCAAAAAATGGGATGATGGATGAGGCTTTGAATCTATTTAATAGAATGCCTGAACGTAACATTGTGTCATGGAATGCTATTATTACTGGGTTTTTATTGAATCGTAATGTGGCTTTGGCAATTGATTTTTTCAAGAAGATGCCTAAGCGTGATTCAGCATCTCTTAGTGCACTTATATCAGGACTCATTCAAAATGGTGAATTGGATGTAGCTGCTAGAACTCTGCATGAATATGGGAACATTGATGAAGGAGAAGACGATTTGGTGCATGCCTACAACACCCTAATTGCTGGCTATGGCCAAAAAGGGAGGGTGGAAGAAGCTCGACGCCTTTTTGATCAAATCCCAAATTATCAAGGCCAAACAGATGTAGGTAAAAATAAATTTAAACGAAATATAGTTTCTTGGAATTCCATGATGATGTGCTATGTGAAAGTGGGTGATATTCTTTCTGCTAGGGACCTCTTTGATCAAATGATAGAGCGAGATACCTTCTCTTGGAACACCATGATCAATGGATATGTTCAAATTTCAGCTATGGAAGAGGCTTCAACCCTTTTTGGTAAGATGCCAAATCCTGACACTTTTTCGTGGAATTCAATAATATCTGGATTTGCACAGATAGGTGATTTAAAGCTTGCAAAAGATTTCTTTGAGAGGATGCCTCACAAAAGTCTGATCTCATGGAACTCAATAATAGCAGGCTATGAGAAAAATGGTGACTGTAAGGGTGCTATTAAGCTCTTCTCTCAGATGAAACTTGAAGGACACAGACCAGATAGACACACTTTGTCTTCAGTCCTGAGTGTCTCTACTGGTTTAGTGGATCTTTACCTTGGTAAGCAGGTACACCAGCTTGTCATGAAGACTTTTATTCCAGATGTGCCGGTAAATAATTCCCTAATCACCATGTACTCTAGATGTGGAGCAATTATTGAGGCACGTAATGTATTTAATGAGATGGATCTAAGGAAGGATGTGATCTCTTGGAATGCAATGATTGGAGGCTATGCATCTCACGGCTTTGCTGTAGAGGCTTTAGAACTTTTTGAATTGATGAAGAGATCCAAAGTTCACCCTACGTATATATCATTTATTTCTGTTTTGAATGCATGTGCCCATGTAGGTTTGGTTGAAGAAGGGAAGAGGCAATTTAATTCCATGATTAATGAATATGGTATTGAGCCACGAGTTGAGCACTTTGCCTCCCTTGTGGACATTGTGGGTCGGCACGGGCAACTTGAGGAAGCTTTAAATTTGATAAATAATATGCCATTTGAACCAGATAATGCTGTGTGGGGTGCACTCCTAGGTGCTTGTAGAGTCCACAATAATGTAGAATTAGCCCAAGTAGCAGCTGAAGCTTTGATCAGGCTTGAACCAAAAAGTTCAGCTCCTTTTGTATTGTTATATAATATGTATGCTGATCTAGGACAATGGGATGATGCAGAGAAAGTGAGAATGGCAATGGAAAGAAGATCAATCCAGAAGCAAGCAGGGTATAGTTGGGTAGATTCTTCCAATTGTCAATGATAGTTTTTCTCCCACTTGTCAGTCATTTGACTGGAAATCTTTCAATGCTATTATCATCTGAAATTGACATTTTAATTTTAATGGCAGATAAATATGTCACCATACAGTTCCTTCTGCTTTTATTGTGATGCTGAAATTTACCTTCCTACTTTTCTGTTCAAATAAGAGCTCCCGCAACCCTGGGGCTGAGGGTGGGTTGGGGAATGAAAAAGAATGTGCTTCTAATTCCACAAACTCAGAATCAAAGCTCTAAAGTAATTAATGTCGTGTTATAGAACCTTGTCCTTTGACTTGATTTACGCTGTTAGGTGGAAAAGCAGAGGTTCTGTTAACAGTGTAGGCTTCAATGGAGATGGTGAAATATTGGTGTCAGGGTGTGATGACAGGAGAGCTATCCTCTGGGACTGGGAGATTGGGCATATGAAGTTGTCTTTGCATTCTGGTCGCATGAGAAATGTTTTCCCAGAAAAGTTTATGCCCCACTCAGATGACCAACGCATTGTGACTTGTGGTGGTTATGGGCAGGTACACCCTTTCATATTCTGTCACATTGTGGAAAGATGAGCATTCGATTTGTGTGCCAGCATTTCCGTTCTGTCATTTCCGTCATATCTGTTACATTTTGAGAAGAACGAGACCATTTCCATTTGAATAGGCCATGCCATGAACACTACTATATAATGATTAGCAGTTTTCCGTAACTTATGCATGCATTTCGTCTATGCGCCACAAATTGCGGGGATTATATGTTTATTTTTCTGAGCATAAGTGTTTATCTACTTCAAAATTGAGATAAATATAACGTTCTATGTTGCTATTACTCCCTTTGTTCCTTATTATAAGACAAAATTTCGGAAGGCGTGATGTTTCTATGATTAATTAATATTTTTTTGCCTAAAATGTCCCAATCAATGAAAAAAGACCTGGCCTGCCTTGGAATAAGGTTAAGAGTAAGATGAGCATTAATTGAGTGTAGAAGTGGAAAGATGGAAAATTTTGAAGACACTCTAAATTATTTAAAACTGCTTTATTGGCATGCGTAAATTTGATAATTTTGTCTTGTAAAAAAGAACAGAGGAAATAATATTTATGAATCTTTTTATGTTATTCATTTGAAAAGGTTGATTCCATGAGTGAATACTCTTTATTTAAGGTGATACGTGCACTAATTCAGGAAAATGGAGGAGTCAAAACTAAGGTACTAGGCGAACGGGAAGTATAGTCTTATGAGTTGGCTATTGAGTCTGGTAGCCCTCTTATATTCTATACTTTCGGCGAAGATGCATTAGTACAGCATGTTATATTAATAATAAAAAGATACAGACTAGGAAGGACTATAAGACAAGAGAAATGAACGGGGACGAAGGAAACGGGAAAGTGGAACAGATATGACTGGACCGGGGGGGGGGGGAGTAAGAGTAGAAAAGATATCTTTGTTGATGACAGAGGAGCTCTTCAAATGATGCCTGAGCTGAAAGTGAAATTTTCTTTTGCAGATGATGCGGAGTCGAGCAGGAGGGAGATTCTCATTTGTGGCTTAGAGCTATTACCCGGAGGAGAGCAGATGACAAGCATGCATTGCTGAATAAAGGGTAATAAGCGCTCTTCTTTTACCATTTCATAGATTGTAAAAGAGAATCATTCAGCGATATTGCTATTGAACAGCGGATAAACTGGCGTGTTTTGCTTTTGGAGCTTTTCTTATTTCCTACCTTGCCTTTTGTTGTAATTAGTTACTGCAAATCAAATCAAATTTTTATATATTTTATTGCAATATCATTGGAATATTTTGTGTGTTATTATATGTTTACTGTGGACAATACATTAGTAGTATATTGGTAATATTATTGTCTTTATTTAATTCTATATTATTATTTAGTCCTGTTTAAAATACCTTACTGATACTTTATTTGGTCTTTCTCGTTTGATAGTGTGAGTGTGTGTGTATCATCAACTTGAAAAAATTTAGGTAATGTTTGTGTTGATAGATTTGAATTTAAATTTTTAATTTAAAATTCATATATTTAAAATGTTTTGTTTGAATACAACAACAAACAACAACAACAACAAGCCTTTATCCCACTAGGTGGGGTCGGCTACATGGATTGCAAGACGCCATTGTGCTCTATCGTTTATCAAGTTTTTAGGAATATTATTAATTAATAAATCGCGTTCAATAACTTCCAAAAGTGTTCTCTTAGGCCTTTCTCTACCTCTCTTAATCGGACTCAAAGTTATATGTTTCACTCTTTTCACTGGTGCCTCCCTTGGTCTTTTTTGTACATGCCCAAATCATCTCAATTGATTTTCTACCATTTTTTCTTCAATAGGTGCCACTCTCACTTTTTCGCGTACGTGTTCATTTCGAATTTTATCTTTACATGTATGTCTGCACATCCATCGTAACATTCTCATCTCTGCTACTCCAATTTTATGCTCTTGCTGTTCCGTTAGAGTGCAACATTCACTACTATATAACATTGCCGGTCTGATAGCAGTGCGATAAAACTTTCTTTAAGTTTATTAGGCACCTTACGGTCGCAAATAACTCCTTTAGCTTTTCTTCAATTAAACCACCCACTTGAATTCTATGTGAAATATCTCCACTGATGTCGCCATCATTTTGAATAATGGCTCCTAAATATCTAAATTTTTTCACTTGAGGTATAATTTGATCTCCCAATTTCACTTTCAAATTATTGTCGAATAGTCCTTTACCAATATTACAATATAAATATTCCTCTTACTTCTACTCAGACGAAAACCTTTTGACTCCAATGTCCTCCTCCATAACTCAAGTTTGTAATTAACCTCTTCTCTTGTATCTGCTATAAGAACTATATCATCCGCGAAGAGCATACATTTTGGAATTTCCCCTTGAATATGTTCCGTCAAAACATTTAAGATCAAGTTGAACAAATAAGGACTCAGAGATGATCCCTGATGTAGTCCAATCTTTATAGGAAAATCCTTTGTTTGACCACTAGGCATTCTTATATTAGTTTTTACCCCCTCATACATATCTTGTATGGCTTTAATATAAACAATCCGTACTCCCTTTTTTTCTAACGCTTTCCAAAGCACTTCTCTTGGTATACGGTCATAAGCTTTTTCCAAATCAATAAAAACCATGTGTAGATCTTTATCTTTACAATGATACTTTTCCATTAATCCCCTTAGTAGATAAATCACCTCTGTAGTTGATCTACCTGGCATAAAACCAAACTGATTTTCAGAAATACTTATCTCCAATCTCAACCTGTGCTCAATTATTTTCTCTCATAATTTCATTGTGTGGCTCATGAGCTTAATCCCTCTATAGTTAGTACAATTTTGAATATCTCCTTTATTTTTATAAATAGGAATTAATGTACTTCTCCTCCACTCATCAGGCATTTTCTTGGACCGTAAAATCACATTAAATAACTTAGTTAACCATCTCACCCCTTCTTCACCTAAACATTTCCACGCTTCGATAGATATACAATCAGGTTCGTTGGCTCTACCATTTGCCATTTTCTTAAGAGCTTCCTTTACCTCCTTATCACGTATTATTCGATAGAATGACAAATTTTGTTCTCCTTCACCTTACTAAATCTTCCAAGTTACTAGATGAACCCTCTCCATCATTGAAAAGTATAGAAAAGTAAGTCTCCCATCTATTTTTAATTTCATCATCTCTAACTAAAGTTCTTCCCTCTTCATCTTTAATACACCTTATTTGTTCTAGATCTCTTGATTTTTTTTCTCTACTCTTGGCAATCTTATAAATATTTCGCTCTCCTTCCTTCGTCTCAAGGCTCTTATAAAATTCTTCAAAAGCTTTAGAACGAGCTTCACCCACAGCTCTCTTAGTTTCCTTTTTAGCTATACGGTACCTCTCCTAATTTTTCTCATTATTACACAAATGTATGGCTTTAAAACAGTTCTTCTTATACTTAATTTTGTCCTGTATACTATTATTCCACCACCAAGACTCCTTATCTCTCGGACCAGAACCTTTTGATTCTCCCAAAACTACTTTTGCAACCTCCCATATCTTTTTAGCCATATTCTCCCACATGATGTTAGCACTTCTCTGAGATTCCCAAATTCCTTTATCCAAAAGATTTTGCTTGAAAATATCTTGCTTCTCACCTTTTAATTGCCACCACCTAATCCTTGGTGCTACTACTTGTCGACGTTTTTGGATTTTACTCATAATACACACATCAAGGACTAGGACCCTATGTTGTGTCGTTACAGCATCTCCGGGGATCACCTTGCAATTTTTACAAAGTCTTCTATCGGTGTTCCTAACCAAAAGAAAATCAATCTGTGACCTTGAGGCTCTACTTTTGTAAGTGATGAGATGCTCATCTCTCTTTTTGAAACAAGTGTTGGCAATCTTAAAATCATATGCCAATGAGAAATCAAGAAGAGTTTGTCCTTCATTGTTTAGCTCTTTAAAACCAAAACCACCATGCACCCTCGCATACTGACCAGCTTCCCTCCCGACATGCCCATTAAAGTCTCCTCCAATAAAAATCTTTTCACTCTGTGGTATGTGTCGAATCAACCCCTCCAGATCCTCCCAAAATAATTCCTTAAGACTGGCTTCTGTCCCGACTTGCGGTTCATAAGCGCTAACAATATTAACAGTCTCACGTCCAATTATCATTTTTAAGGAAATAATTCTATCTCCAATTCTGCTAACTTCTACAACGTTCTTCTTCCACTCCTTATCTATAATGATGCCTACTCCATTGCGTGCACTTACTTTTCTTGTATACCAAAGTTTGAAACCTTGAATATCCTTAGCTTTTCTCCACGCCATTTTGTTTCTTGCAGGCAAAGGATATTGATTTTCCTTTGAATCATAACCCTAACAACCTTTACAGATTTACAATTCAATGTTCCAACATTCCAAGTACCAAATCTAATTTTGCTCTCATGGACTAACTTCTTTAGCCGCGTGCGTCTAGAATGACGCGGTAGCCCTTGCTCATTTAACACTACATCCGGGCGCCAATGCAGCGGCTCTAACTCACTTATCACTGTATTCGAGCCATGCAACGCGTTACTTACGGGCAACGACCTAGCATTAACATTATAACGTCTATTGTTCAATAATGTAAAAAATTTTAGAGGAAGAAGAGACAGGTTGGGATTTGAAATAGAAGACAAAAAGAAAAAATTAATTTTTTAATCTTTCAACTTTTGTTAATTCTCTTTTCTAATGTTAATTTAAATTTCACATCAAAGAGTAAGAGGGGATATTTTATAGTAGGATATGAGCATTTCCTTTATCATTTTTATTTGATAAAGATAATTTTTTTAAAAAAATTAAGAAATAAAAAATGAGTTATAAGTGAATTAAAAATTGAGGAATTGAGTCGCAACAAATCATAATTGAGAGATTGAATTATAAAAAATATAATTAAGAGACTGTGTTACATGTGAGTTAGAAATTAAAGAGTTAAAAGATTAATTTTTCCAAATAAAAATTAGGAGTGATATGTTTATCTCTGTTATTCAGTTAGGGAGAGATGAGAGCAAGAAATGAGAGGAGAGGCAAGAACAGTAGATATTGATAATGAAGACATGAAAAAAGAAGAAGAAAAGGTTAAAATTTGAAATTATAAAAAAGTTATAATAAAATATGAAATCAAATTTAATTTATAATTTTTTAAAAATTTAAATTAAATTTAAATTTAAATTCAAATTTTTGTGCATCCAAATATAGTATTAATGTATTGTTTTTAGAGTGTTCACTTGATTCTCTTTTCCCCTTGTTTTTCAAGATAAGGTCTGAGAGTATTTTCTTTTAGTGGCATTATTGGGATCCTCCAATTAATTACTACATGATGAGTCAGCTTAATTAGTGATCATTCCAACATTATTACCAAACATGTCTTTGGAGTTTGGACTCATTCAATATTTCCAATGTCCTTTTGTTTTGGGCCAATAATATTTCCAATGTCAATAATGTTTCAAACTGTTATAAAACTGACATCCTTTTGTGTTCACTTTGTTTTATTGCCCAAAAAGGTACATGTTGCAGCGTGTATCTACTTATCCAAAATTGTAACCGAGAGACTTGTAATTTCACGCGTATCACTATATTTCTTCCCTTTTATTCTATTGCTCTTCTAAGTTGCAACCTGGAAACTCTAATTACTAGAGTTGGCTTATAGGTTATGTATGAATTCGTTTTGTTCTTTATTTGTAAGCTCAATTTGTTAATCCTAGTGGTACAATAATAATATATATTTCATCAATCATTGCTCTCATTATTGTCATTTTGTACCTTAAATTTCATGTCAAGCACAACATCTAGTTATTAATTCTTTAAAAATTTAACAAGTGTTTAATTTTATCCTTTTTAATATATATTTTAATTTAATAACATATTTTCTTCTTATCTTTTAATGAGGAGTAAAAGGCTGATTTTTTATAAAATAAATAATGTCTTATAAATAAAATTAAAAAGCCTCCTCTCTCCCCGATTGAAGGGAGTAAAATGTAAACATTTTATAAACAATTCCTTCTAATGTCAAATTAGAAAATGTGATGTAACTTAGATTTAAGAGAAATATATATAATATTCGTTCATCTTGGCTTAATGATTAAGCATAATAACATACTTTTCAATGTGGAAATCCAATTTTGACTCAAACTTAATGTGATCAGCGCATGGATGAGCTGTATATTGGAAGATGAACCATTTCATTTCATTAATGTAGTTTGGTTTAAAAGTGCTTTCATGGATAAAGCCTATTCCAAGTTCCAAATAAACCTGCGACTCAGGTCTCTTTCA